GCACCCACCGTGGACAAGGGACCCGCTGAGCCACTGGATGTAGTAGTTGTGGGGGAAGGAGAGCAGCACCTCGTTGCTGATGATGGAGAAGGGCAGGAGGAGGACGGCGCCCAGTGCCACGGCCAGGGTGAAGGTGCAGAGCCCCAGCCTGCCAGAGGGACGAGTGTCACCCCCGGGTCAGGGCCTCTGGGGGTGCCACAGCCCAGCTGTGCCGCCCAGTGTCAGCAGCACCCATGGGACACGGTGTCCCAGCTGAGGAAGGGGCAGAGTTTCAGGGAAAGGACAGACAGGAACTTACGCAATCCTGTTGACAGCAGCATCCTCGTCATCGTGCACTGCGGGGACAAAATCCCAAACCGAGGGGCTGGGGGAGGCTGGGCTGCCTGGAGCATCACTCCCTACCCCCTCCCCAACCTCCCACTGCTCTGAACAGAAACCCCCCCAGGGAACTGGGCTCTGCTCTCCCCTGGGGCAGCTGGTGGGTGCCCTGCAGGGACTGGTGTCATGGAAACCCGGGCTGTGGCAGGGCCAGAGAGGCTGAAAGTGAGGGAGAAACAACCCTAGGGAGGCTGAATGTGGCTGCCAAGGGCTGCCCAGCTCTCGTAGCTCCTACCTGCTGTGAAGTCCGTGTGCTTCTTGAAGTGGGTTATGATGAAGTGGCAGAGGATGTAGAGGCTGGCGAAGAGCAGGGCACAGATCTGCGGGCAGAGGAGCGTGGGCAGTGCAGGCAGGCCCGGAGGGCAGCGCCCCTACCCCAGCTCCTACCCCGGGCGATGCCCCAGGGCCCATCTACTCCGCCCTATTTGTTTTTCCACTCCTGGCCCTGGTTACACCCCACCTGTGTGCTCAGCCCCATCTGTGCCCGGGGGCTGCACCCAGGGTTCGCCCATAGGTGCCCTCAGACAGCCACAGCACCCAGGCCAGGGGGCTGAGGACCCACACGGCAGCTCTAGGTCAGCCTGTGCTGGCAGAGCTGGAGATGAGACCCCGTGGGACACCCCTGAAGCGCCTGATCCCACAAC